TAAGGACGAGTCCGGTTCGGCCGGGCGCGCGTCCCTCGCCTGGCGAGGCTGCGGCGATTGCCTTCGGCTTTGGAGGTGGGAGTTAAATCCCTAAATTTCCTCGGGGATTTACCCCAACGCTTGCTCGGGCGTTACTCGCATCGCCGTCGATGAGGCTACGTGTCAGAAATGAGGAAGAAACCAGGCCCGTAGATCAAAAGGGGCGAGATGCCTTCTCTCCTGCCATACGGCTAGTGGCTTAGCACAACGTCCTGCGCTGGGATGGCTCGGATAAGCAAAGATCCCCGCAGAACATGGCCTCGCCTTCAGGGCCGCTACCGAGCAGGGAAGTTTGGAGGCTCACCGAACGCTTTTTCGTACTCGCCCCCCCCAGCCACGGCTTCCTCGTGGGCCCCGCAGATGTTGTCTGCGCACGCTCCAGAAAAACACAAACGCGGCAGACGGCAGCAGACAAGGGCACCACAGTCCCTGCTTACCAAGCTTTGTCTCCTTGAGGCTTTAATGTAGCACACGAAATGCCAGCAGACAGGGTAAAACAGGACAGCGTGTTCTCTCTCCCCCCTCCTAGATAAAGTGTGAAAATACAATCTGTAAGTTTGAAATACAATCTTTAAGGACTGCAAGAGGAGGAGAGAGTATAGAGTTAGGAGGGACGGTCCCACAAGTAGCTCCTGAGCGGGGTGCCAGGCAAGGGAACGGCTCCTCGACTGCGGTTTTCTCCTGGGCGTTCTGGGTTGCCGGTGACCTCTCACGTGAACCCGCTCTCCTTTTTCAGGAGTGGGAATTGGCGTCGTTCACGCTGGGTACGAGAGACGCCTCGCCCATCACCTGGGTGCCCACAGCACACCGTCCCTGCTAGGGCTCATCAACGGGAAAATCACCTTCTTCCACAACGCCGTCGTTCGAGAAAACCTGCGGCAATTCGTGGAGAACCTTCTGCCAGGGAATCTCGTAGAAAAGGTAGGCTCCAGCAGGAGCGTCACGCGCTGCTTCTCGCGGCTGTCTGGACAGTCATCTCTCCTTAGCTGGCTCGGTGGCTAATCTGTTTAATTTGGCCCCCGAGCGGATCGGCGTCGCACGCGCGAGACGATCCACCCGAGGCTGGGCAAGCCAGGCATCAGGAGAGCTGTCATGACAGCTGCGAACCCCAGAGCTGTCAGAAGCGATCGCGCGGTGCGGCTCCGTCGTGCTTCTCCTTGCTAAAGGGCTCATCACACGCTACTACGCGGTGACGCCAGCCGCTCTGCGGCCCTGCTGCTCTCCCAGTGCTAACAGCGCAGGGCTGCCAGAGCCCTACAACAGCTGCCCCTGGGTTAGGAATCCGTGACCGTGCCCTACCTGCCTGCTGGATTTCACTTCACTTCTCCTCTCTCAGGGTTTCTTCCAGCAAATTAAAGACCGCTCGCTAACTCGTGGGTGTGGTCTGCTAAAACTCGCCCGCACAGGGACGCGTTGTTTGTTCCATCCAGTTTTGATTCGGACCTCTGAAACTGGAGCCAGCAGGGCGAGCCCTTTCAAAGTAAAACCTCCTCCTAGAGAAAACACCTCTGCATTTTGGCCTCCCTCGGTTTTTTTTGGCAGTCCTACAGTACTCACCCCCCTCTTCCCACACCATGCGGCCGGGTCAGCCCCCCTCGCGCTCTCCCCTGCCTGTCCCCTGCTCGGAGCCTCGTTCCCCTCGCCTCGTTCTCCCTGGGGGAGCCACCCTTTCCAATGCACTCTGGACACGCTGTCCTCTGGGTGTTGGGAGCACTCGCCCCGAACGTGGGGTCTGCTGTCCCCTTATGCGGCTACCCACGACCCGCTTCGCCTCCCGCAGCCGGCGCTCCTCGAAAACAGAGCTGCCAGCCTGCTCCTCTCCCTGAGGGCCCCTAAACGAGCCGGGATCTCCCTTTTATCCCCTTCCTCTAGCTCAAAGAGGTACCGCAGCTGAAACTGAGCAGGTCTGATGGAGCTCGCAGGTGCCCGTTAAGCCTTGGCTTCCCACTATACCTAAAGTTTACGGTCCCAGTGAACCCTTATGAGAACGAAAGCGGCATAGGCTTTGACTTGGAACAGCATGAACAGAGGGTTTAGCTCAGAGGGTTGGTGGGGGACGAGACCGATGGCTTCCGCTCATTTCCTGCATCAAAACAGCACAGATCGGGTACGCCCGCTGGAAAGACAAACCCGCGGCCGGCTGTCTGTAACGCCTGCACGGCTGCTCCAGGGCCGGTTCTCGCTCAGGCACCTCGCCGTACAGCACTGCACGCGTCGAACGGCTCGGAGGACAAACTAACGCGCTGATTCTGTTTAAAGATTACAGATAAAAACTACATCCGCTTTCTCTCCAACTGGAAGAAAGAAAACAAGCCCCACGTCCTTCTCTTCGATCACATGCCGGCTGTGCCGCTGCTATACAAGGTAATGTGGTTTCTGTCACGGCGCCGTTGACTTGCTGAGAAATCCAGCGGTTCCAAAAGGAAACGCGGTACTGCTGCGCGCGGAGGCGGATCAGTGCCTTGAAAATGGCACGGCCAGATGACCGACCTCGTCAGGAGATGGTTCCCGGGTCCCACCACGGATGTACCCTTAGCGAGTGCGAGGGCGCGGGTGGGTTTCCGAGGCAGCGGCGACAAGAGGCGTGACCTAACCTTTATCAGTAACGAGAGATTCTGGTGGCACATCTACTTGGGGTTGCCAGAAAGCCCATTTCTTGACAAGAAAGCCCTGCTGCCGTGCGAACTGTCGGTTTGTAAAACAAAGCTGTGGATCCGCCGAGGCTCCCCGCACGGGGACTAAGAGAATGCCAACCCCAGTTCAGCACGGGGCAGGAAGGGCTCTTGCCTCTTGTGGCGCGTGCCCCGAGACATTTAAACAGCGGGAGGTGTTCTCGAGGCAAAGTCACCACAGGCACTCGGGGGACAAAAACGTTGTTTGCTCTCTAACCTAAACACGTGCCGGTGCTTTCTTCCCGTCCAGCTGACTGCCTTTGCGTATCGGGATTACTTGTCCTTCGGTTATGTGTACGTTGGGCTCCGAGGCACCGAGGAGTTGTCCCGGCAGTACAACATCAACGTCTACACTCCCACCATGATGATCTTCAAGGAGCACGTCGACAGGCCCGCTGACGTCGTGCAGGTACGGCTCCGAGCGATCGCCGAGCGCTTAGGGGACACGGACGCCGAGGTTTTCTGACCGAGCGGGCGAGGAGAGGTCGGTCGGTGGCGCATTTCAGAGTACAGAGCATCCGTTCGCAGCAGAAACTCGGGCTTCTGCCGAGGCAGAGAGCGGCCATGAGGAGGGAGGAAGCTCGGCAGGCTGCAGTCGGATGCTCAGATCTGACCTTTTGAGGAGGGCGGCTGCAGGGAGCTTCTCGGCCTCGGGGCCTCAAAACGTCTCGGGTGATTTTGGCGAGGGCCGTGACGGCCGGCGGCCTTTCCCACACTTCAGACCAGGACGTCGCGACAGCTTTACTCTCCTCGTCCTGCTCGGTACTGACCTCTGCTTTCTTTGTCCTCACCAGGCACGAGACATGAAGAAGCAGCTCATCGATGACTTCCTTTCCCAGAACAAGTTCCTCATGGCAGCCAGACTCACCAGCCAGAGGCTGTTCCAGGAGCTGTGTCCGGTGAAGAAGTCTCACCGTCAGCGAAAGTAAGGCTCCGCGCGTGACGCGTCCCCCCGTTTGGTTCCCTGAGGCTCCAGGGCTGCTCCTCAAGCCACCTTGGGTTTGATTATGTGGGAAAAAGCAAATGACTGCATCGGATGGTGCGGGGTAGCCGCGTCGTTTGCCAGGTTTCTGGCTCCTCAGGATCCTTCTGGCTGGTGGAAAGGGGAGAGTCGTTTGCTCTCGCGTCGGAACGGCTCCTGAACCTCCGTCTCGTTGTGTTGCCTAGGCACTGCGTGGTCTTACTCACTGGAGAAGGCGATAAGTTCGCTGAGGCTTACGAAGCGTTTCTGACTGTTGCCGTGGCCAACACAAAAGACACGCTGAAGTTTGTGCACATCTATAACGATCGGCAGCCGGAGTTCGCGGACGCCTTGCTGATGGATGAGGAGAAGTATCGGGGAAAATCCGCTGTGAGGGTCTCCTGTTTTATCCACTCCCCTCTCCTTGTCGTCTGTCATTCTAATTCGCATCGCTGCATGTAGGATGCTATGCCTTGATCTGACCGCTGCTTCTGGGCAGCGATTGGAAGCGCGCCGGCTGTCTGGCGCAGCGTACCTTGCGCTCTGACATCTGCGATGTGGTTGGCTCGCCCAGGTGGTCCTTTTGGAGAGACGCAATAACGCGGGGAAGATCGCCTATAAAACCCTGGAGGAGGCCTGGCGAGGCAGCAAAGAGGACAGCTTCGTCCTCCTGGATCTTCTGGACCAGCTGAGGACGGACCCCGGCTTTCTCTCCTCAGAGACCGTCCTGGCAGACTTGAACGACGAGCTCGCTCCTGTAAGTGCACGGCCTTTCCAACCGCCTTACCTTTTTGGACAGTCCCCTTGTTACAGTCCTTCGCGGGCCTCCATGACGTTATAAAACACCAAGGCAAGACTCTCGCTCGTAGAAGGAAGCGCTCGTGGCGTGCTCTGAAGCCGATTCGGCCCAGGGTTCCGTCCCAGGGGTGGGACTTCGGTCAGGGCGCTGGATAGCGCTTTGGCCATTTGCTAATTTCTTTTTCCATTTTAAACAGATGTTCCTGATCCGATGGCTCCACTCCGTGCTGGATTACGTCTCAGACTGCTGGGACAGTTTGTTTCACAGCAACTGGTACGGGTGGGGCGTTCGCGAGTCTCGTCAGGGAGCGGGATTGCCGTTCTCGTGTTCAGATGCATAGGGGAGAACCAGGTTCTTATTACCGGGAATTGAGAACATATCAAAACAGGCAGGTGCCTGCATTCTCTCGAGAGGTAGGCGAGGAGCGGTGACGCCACGGTGACATCAGCTTCCGCCTCCAGCCCTGGCTACTCTGGGCTCGAGGCTGAGCGTGGACGTGACGCTCCTGAAAACACGGATCGATCATTGTTTTTCACGGCTTCCCCGTAGCCGACTTCTAAAACGGATCCATTTTTGTCCTCCTCCTTTTGGGGGGGAGCAGGACGACAGCGCTTACAATCTTAACTGTCTTTAGGACCCCAGGAAACGAGCCGGGTTTCCGGGGAAACTGCACGGTATTACTTGAGGGAGGCGGGCGCTGACATTCGAGCAGACCTCGCAGACCCCATCGCTGTTTGCACATCTTCCCCTCAGGCGAGAAATGATGCCCCTGCTGTCCCTGCTCTTCTCGGCGCTCTTCATTCTCTTTGGCACCGTTATTGTTCAGGCTTTCAGGTGAGCGCACGCCAGCGTGTCCTCGGGGATCTTACAGCTGGGCCAACACCACCTCCGTCCCCTCTGGTGCCTTAAACACACATGCCAGACAGATAATCTTCCTTTGCAGCGACTCGAGTGACGCCAGGGACTCTCCTCCCTCCGAGAAAGAAGAAACCGCCGCAAAGACCGAGAAGCACGACGCGAGCTTCAGCAAAGAGAGCAACAGGTTCCCAGTCTCGTTTCTGCAGCAATGTTTTCCGGACGTAGCATGGTCATTGCGCGGGGCACGGCGAGGCGGGTGGGCACGGTGCTCGGCCAGGACCCGGGCCAGCAAGGACAGGGGTGCGCAAACTTGATTATTAAATGCTTCCCGCTGAGTTTTGCCCAGACGACGTCCTCAGGGGGGAAGGTCAAGGTCTGACTGACTCACTGAGGACGATCCGAGCCTGGCCATCGCACCCGTTAAGTGCCTAACTGGGCACGACCCGAGCCTGGCCATCGCACCCGTTAGACTGGCTCGAGCTCCGGTGCTCAGTGTAAGGGGGCAGGGAACAAGTTCGCGGCTTCTCCGTCCTCGGTCGCTCGCCGTCCTTCGTTCCCCTTTCACTCGGTCCCCATTTCGTTGCAGCAGGATGCCCAAAAAGGGCTTCGTCGAGGTGACTGAGCTGACAGACATCAACTATAACAGCAACTTGGTACGCCTAAGGCCAGGTCACATGAACGTGGTCCTGATCCTGTCCAACGCCACCAAAACCACCCTCCTCCAGAAGTTCGCGCTGGAAGTCTACACGTTCACGGGGTAGGCCGCGGCCCTCTCCCGGGTTCCTCTTTCTAACCGCTTGCGTCGTGCTGCTCAGATGATGAGTTAGGAGGGGCGGTCTTGGCTCGCTGGCCAGGAGGGAACGCTTCTGGCGAGCAAAGCGGCCTCCGCGCTCGTTAGCGGAAACGAGACGGCGAAAAGCGAGCGGCCTTTCTTCTCGGTAAGGGTGCCCGGAGGGGTCTGGCGTCGCCGCCTCTTTGGCTGTACCCACAGCTCGCCAAATGGAGAGCGCGACGGTGCTGCACGCGAGGTCATCATCGCCTGGGCCGGACGGGGTGACAAAAGGAGCTGCGGTGACCCAGCTCCGCGCCTGCCCTTGTTTACAAGCGCTTACCTGTCCGGTAGGAATCCAGCCCGACTCGGGAGACGTGCTAATCCTGTTTCTCCTCTGCTCTTCCCCCAGGAGCAGCTCTCTTCATTTCTCCTTCCTCAGCCTGGACAAGCACCGAGAGTGGCTGGAGTACCTGTTAGAGTTCGCGCAGGATGCGGCCCCCATCCCAAACCAGTACGACAAGCATTTCCTCGAGCGCGACTACACGGGCTACGTCCTGGCTCTGAACGGCCACAAGAAATACTTCTGCCTCTTTAAGCCTCACAGATCGGGGGATGAGGGGGGAACCGTGGGATCGTGTGAGGATTACGACGCCTCGCTACACGCGGAGGCCAGAGGGAAATCCTCCTGCAGCCCAGGATCGAGATCCGTTAGAAACAAATTACACAAATTGTCCTTTTGGATGGAACGCCTCCTCGAGGGTTCCTTACAGAGGTTTTATATCCCCTCGTGGCCCGCGCTAGACTGAGGGCTTTTAAAGAGATTCTAGCGGACAAACTTTTTACGAAGATGACAAGGGACAGCTCTTTCCAGGAATAAGCAAACAAGCGTGACGATCGGACCGTAGGTTTTAGATGAACTCTCCTCGGGCCGGCGAATGGAGCCCGGGAGCGCAGCTGAGCGCACTGAAATTCCCTCCACCGACTCCGTCGTGCGTCTGGGTGCCGTACTACCGAAGAGCCAAGAAGTCCATTTTTCCCTTCTTGTCCTGCCCCATCTGCTTCCCAAGTCACCTCCGTTCCATCTCTCGTTTTACCTCGGTTGAAGGAAAACCCATGACTTCTCTGCTGCGGCGACTCGGTCCGGACCGAACGCGGCCGGTGACGCGGGTCAGGTCGTGCCTCTCTCCCCCCTTCCCCGTGTGCTTAGCCCACGGTGCATGGTGTAACACTGGAGAGACCCTGCAGACCCTCCCGGCCCTGCCCTTCCGAAGGCCTCCTCCCACCAGGCAGTCGTACTTGCTCGGCTTGCCCAGGGGTAAGTGATGTGGAGTACGGTCGGGAGCGTCCCCCTCGTAGCAAACCTGTGGCTGGGACTCGCCCGTGGGGCGGGCTCGCAGGCGGTCTGCGTGTTTCACGCTCCTCGTGTCATAGCTCCACGTTGCAGCTTCACCGGCTAAACCGTCACCGGGGAGGGAAGGGGTTCTGCCCGGCCATCAATACTGTAAGGGTGTTGAGCCACTTAAATGTCGCGTGGATTGTTCAGATGCCTTCCTGCTTCTGTCGATTTTAGACGATGTATCCTAGAGCCATAACTTTAACCGTGTCCTCGGATTGTAGGCGTGAGCTGCTATGAGCCAGTAGATGTGTACAGGAAACTCTACCTAGCTGCTAGGGAGTCGCTCCGGGCTCCTTCCAAACACCCGTACACCTGTAGTACAAACCAACCTGTCTTTGTGTCGAGGAACCCAATTCTTCGACGATTGTATTCTTGACATGTCGCCCCCAAAGTGCTGTAGCCCCAGACCGTCGCTTACGTGTCAAACTCCTCCTTTGGCTTCAGGCGTGGGTTTCAGAGGCCTGGTTTCAGCCTCTCGCCCGTTTCCTTCTCGCCGCACACCTTGGTTTCTCAGCGTGCAGGCTGCCGCCTTGGTTTTCTGTTGGTTCGCGTCGGGGTTTGGTTTTTTTTTGTCCGTTTGCACTCGGAGGTCTGCGGGAAGCTAGAACAGTCATCAGGCGCAGGGTCGGGCTGATGCTTCGCTCGAGCCGCGCTCCCACAGCCCCCTTCCCCACCGTGGGGGGACAGGCGGCCCAGGGCAGGCGAGCGGCCCCGTTCCGCTCCTCAAGCGACAAAGCACAGCAGCCAGGTTTCGCTTGGCAGCTGGGACTGCGATCCTGCGGGGC